TGGGCGGAGGCAGTGTGCCACAGTTGACACTGGACCACCCATCAGTGGAGTCCGTGTAGGACTCCTGGTCACTAGCTTGTCCACAAGGCCACTCCTGCAGCACATGCACAGGGAGCCACCGCTGGTTGAAGCCACAACCAGTGCCTGCAGCACCCCGCTTGGAAGGAGGGACTGAACTCCGCAAGGAAGCTGGGGGGACCTCTATGTGCTTGTTTAAATCCCGGAACCTGTCAGCCTGGGGAGTAGCCTCAAACGAGGCACCCCCCTCAGGGTCATGGCAGAAAGTCCCATTCCAAGAGGCACCCCAGGACTGTGAGGCCCTCCCACCCACACCTTCCCACGCAGGGCTGCTGCCAGGTCCATGCCTGCTGGAGGTCCCACCCAAGTCAACCACAAGGACCCGGTTGCTCTTCTCTTCCTGATTGAAATTCCCAATGCCACTATCACTGTTGCTGCTGGTGCTGTTGTTCTGGTGGGCATCAGCATCCCCATCCAGAAAAGCCCGGGCCCGCACCCCCTCAATCAGCTCGCCCATGTCTCGGTAAAGGACAGAGATGAACTGAAGCACAGGGAGAGAAGACGCTGGAAATTCCAAACAGCCGTTGGTGTCAGGATCAGCTGTGCACTCAAACCCAAACCGCCGAGCAATGCCTTGATGGATCTTATGATTAAACAAGTCTGGGTCCACCATGAATACATGGCAGGAAGTCCGCAAGACACCTTCCTCCTCTTGCGCCAGGCTCCCATCATCATTCGTCTGCATGGTCACCAGCCCAAAAAACCGCCTGTCATCTGGGCACACAGCGCTGAATGCCAGCTTCTCAGCAGGATATTCGGCCACAACACCAGCTTTGTCAGTACACAGCTGTACACAGTCATGCATGATCTTCATCATCACTAGCGAATGGATTTTCTGTTCTGCCCGTAAGCGTCGCATGCAGCCACGGATGGCTTGTAAACTGTCGTACTCCAGGTTAGAGCTTGTAGAAGGAAGTTCAATAGAACCTAAATAACCCACAACCATGGCAACATTTAAAATGCTTGCATCTAATCCAAAATCATCATGATTTTCTAGTCCAATACTGAAAACCGAATCATCATTAATAACATTTGATATTTCCTCTTTAGAAAGCATGTTGGGATTTGGATTATTTACACTTTCATGTCCAATGTCAAAGCGAGCAGCAGCTGACTCTGAAAGGGATCTTTGTTTCAACTTCAAGGGCTCTGAACTACTTGCACAAAGACTTGGATTTTCAAAAATCATATTGAAAATTCCACCAGACTGCATTTCCTCCACGACTCGCTCTGCCCTATTTATACCTAATGCTTTAGAATCAAGTTTGGGCTTCAACCAGCCTTTTCCATCATAGAGTCCTCCTTCTTCATCACTGGAACAGGACTCTAAGTGGCCAATGCCCTCACCAATCACCATGTGCAGGACACCAGAGCATTTCCCAATTAATTTCACAACATCTTCATGAGAAGCTTTTTTCACGTTGATTTCGTTGATGGCAAATATTTGATCTCCAGCACGGAGACCAACAAAATCCGCAGGGCTTCCTCTCATGACACTGCTGAGCACACAAGGCGCCTGTCCAGAAAGGGTGAACCCATAGCCGGCCCTCCCTCGGGCGACCTCAACACTCCGCAGCCGAGGGGGTACTGTCCCGGGCAGTGGCCGCTTCACTGTCTCCCCCGCTCTATACATTCTGATGTGCTTCTAAGGTCAAGAGCATATTTCATTATCACAGTGGATCCATATTTCAGAGAATGCTTGATGCTACCATATTTTTTTTCTTGAAATAATGCCCTAAGGAAGAAAAATAAATAGCTCATTATTAAAGATTCCATGTCTTCTGATTACTGGTATTATCAAAATACAGAAAGATAATATATAATAAAAACCACCATAGAGAGAATCTCTACTTATCACATAAATGTCAAAGTGAAGAAAAAGCAGTGTCTAAATACAATAAATCTTGAAGTCAGGATAAGAAAGTCCCTTTCGAAGTAGAAAGCATAGTCCAAGATTGCTGTCTTGTTACAGCCCCAATTCCTACCAGGCCACCCACCTCTTACTGGAATTAAAAAGACCCCAGCAGCAGTTGCTCCCAGCACTGTTTCCATACCCTTTTTTTTTTTTTTTTTTTTTTTTTTTTTAGAGGTTTTTCACTGTAGGGTGCGTGCGCTCGCCAGACAGACAGAGAGAGACAGAGAGATAGAAAGCGAGAAATCACGCCCTAGGGGGGATGGCCACGCCACAATCCCTTCTCCTCCATTCTCCTCTCGGGATGGGCCACGCTGCAATCCCTTCTGCATTCTCCTCTTGGGATCTTGGGCGCGTACACAGGCACCCAGCTGAGCTTAAACCACCGGGTCTGGGACTCAAACTGCAGTTTGACTACATGGGAGTCTAGCGATATAGCCATTACACCAATTGCTGGTCCCTCCATACCCTTTTATGACTCAAAGAGATCCTTACTGTTCAAAGTATGGTCCATGAACTAGCAGCCTATCAGAAATGCAGACTCTTGGACTCCACCACAGACCAAGTACATCCAAATTTGTATTTAGTAGGATGGGCGGAAGACAAGTGTAAAGAGCATGTGAATATCACCTAGTCCAACCTCTTCATTCATCACAAATCTCGACAAAAAGTTTTCCCTGGTATCAGCAGTTAGCATAATGGCTATGTTGCTGGACTCCCATGTAGTCGACCGAGGTTCGAGTCCCGGACCTGGTGGCTTAAACTCACGCTGGGCATGTGTGCCCAAGATCCTGAGAGGAGAATGGAGGAGAAGGGATTGAGGCATGGCCATCCCCCCTGGGGGGGGGGTGATTTCTCGCTTTCTGTCTCTCTTTGTCTTTCTGGCGAGCGCACGCGCCCTATAGCAAAAACCTCTCAAAAAAAAAAAAAAAGTTTTCCCTTAGGAGAGGGAGACACCTTATATTCTTTTACATTCCATGCCCTTCCCACAATTCATTGGTTTATAACAAAATACTGTAAAGGGAAGAAACGTTAGTCTGAAATGACCTTAATCTAAAATACTACAGAGGTCACCCAACAGAAAAGCAATACTAATTTTATTATTCCAGAATATATGACTCCATAGTGTAAAATACTGGTTGTCTGGCCAACTGCAGTGGCACAATGCAACAGTAGTAATGCAACACTTAGTGATGCTGAGGCCACAGGAGAAGGTCCCAGGTTCAAACCCCAAGGCCTCCCTACACACATCAAGCACACACATCTGTGCCTGCAATCTAGGCTAGCTGAGGCGGGTGGTAGATCATAATGTGAAGACTCTGTTCTCACTGTCCTCTGAGGAAATAAATTAAAGAGAGAGAGAGAAGGAGAAAGAGAGGGCTAGCCCCATAGCACAGCAGTTAAGGGAGCCGGATCACACATGGCTTTCTATAGTTTGAATCCCAGCCCCAGAAGTTTGAAAAACACACCAGGCTCATGTGTGCACACCCCAAATTCTGACAGGATGGAGAAATGGAGGAAAAAGGATCATGGTGTGACCATGCCCCATCAGGAGTGTTTTCTCTCTTCTCTCTCTCTCCCATTCTCTAGTGAATACACACACCTTCTAGCAATTTAAAAGAGAGAGAATTGGTTGTCACTAAAAACAACTCAGTTTCAGGGGCCCCCAAGACCACACCAGGCTCAGTGATCACCAGGAAGATTCACAAGATCAGCACACAGGCACACTCAGAGCTATGATTTATTACAGTGAAAAGATTCAAAGTAAAATCAACAAAGGGAGAAGATGCACAGGGGAAAATCTAGAGAAAACCAGGCATGAGCTTCCAGAATATTCCAGAAATGTAATTTCCCCAGAACGAATTCTGACATGTGTGAAATGTTGCTAACCAAAGCTCATTAGAGTCTCAGCTCAGCGTCTATGATTTTAGTGGAGGCTGTTCGCATGGGCACATTCTGCCTGGCACATACCAAAACTCCAGACTTCCAGAAGGAAGTAGGTGTTCAGCATAAACTGCACCATTAACTAAACAACTGAGGTACAGAGAGCTTCTGTCAAGTCAGTGGGCATCTACACATAAATGTCCCCAGATGCCAGCCTGGGGCAAATCTTGCATATAGGACTTCTGAGTGTGCAGTTTTAGGCCTGCTATATGAACTCTTTTCTGTACAAGAGCCTTTAAAGTTCATTTTAAAAAGCAAGAGTAAGCAATTTTATTGTGATTATCCAAAATATTATAAAGTATGTTTCTTTTAAAGAGCCTATGTTTTTTGGATCAGGACCACCGAAGACCCTATGCTCAGACTTCATCCTCCTGCCGCCCCCAGACCTACCCAATCAGGATAGGTCAATCAGCAGCCATCTATATTTGAGTTCTGAGTGGCCCCATTCAGGGATCAGGACCCTCTGCCCAGACTTTACCCTCCTGCCCCCAAGATCTAGGCAAGGAGCCAGATTAGAGAACCCTACTTATTCTCTCGCTCTCTCTCTGTCTCTCTCTATATATTTTTTATTTTTTTTAATTTTTCAACTTAACTCTCTGCCACTCTTTTTAACTCTTACCTTTCCTCTTGTCCCCACAGAACAAGCCAATCAGCAGTCATCTATATTTGAGTTCTGAGAGGCTCTAGTTTTCAGTTTTTTTAGTCAAAAATTATTTTTTTTTTGTCTTTTTTTTTTTTTTGGTTCTCTTTTTTGGTTTCCTTTTTTTCTTTTTCCTTTTCTTTTTACCTTTCTCGCTTTTCTGTTCAGTCTCCACAAGGTCTAGGTGTTCAGTCAGTAGCTAAATACCTGAATACTTTTAGGGTCATATGAATCCTCGGTTTTCATTGAATCAGCTGTGCAAAGAGAGAGAAACAGTACTGTTTAGAGACTGCACATCACCTCCTCCTGCATTCCTCTGAAAGCTCAGATTTAACTCCAAAAACTAGGAAAAAGCATATAATCCACGAGATGACCAGAAACCACCACAGAGGCACAAGAAATATGAGAAACCAAGAAAATATCTCTCCTCTAAGGGAAAAGAATAACTCTTCTTCCTCCACAGAGAATACAAGGGAAGTCATGGAAATGTCAGATAAAATACTCACACTGACAAAGCTAACAGAGATGCAAGAGAAGAGAGACAACGAAGAAGGTGCAAGAGAAAAGAGATGAGTTCCAGGAGGTGAGGAAGTTCCTGTACAATCAGAAAGAGGAGATACACATCATGAAAAAGAATCAAACAGAACTGTTAGAGATGAAGGCTATAATACAGGAAATCAAAACCTCCCTTGAAAGTACCAAAAGCAGATTAGATCATGAAGAAGATCGAATCTCAGATACAGAAGATAGAACTTCTGACCTAGAAAAATTTACCAAAAAGACTGAGAAAATAACCAAAAAAAAAAAAAAGAGAGAGAGAGAGAATAACATGTGAGTAATACTAGGTATCACTGAACACCCAAACATACAGATCATCAGTATCCCAGAAGATGAAGAAACTAATAAAGGCATTGATAATCTGTTCCATGAAATCCTAGAAGAAAACTTTCCAAACCTTAGAGAGGCACTCAAATATCCAGACCTAAAAAATACAAAGGACCCCCTGCATAGGGTCAACTCAAGAAGATCTTCCCCAAGGCACATCATAGCCAGACTGACCAAAACCACAGACAGAGACAAGATACTAAAATTGGCAAGAGAGAAATGTCAAGATAATTTCAAAGGATATCCCATCAGGTTAATGTCGGACCTCTCATAGGAAACAATGCAAGCAAGGGAAGAATGGGAAAACATATTCAAAGTGTTAAGTGAAAAACAATTTCAAGCAAGAATACTATATCCAGTAAGATTATCTTTATATGGGAAGAAGAGCCTGAAACATTCTCAGATAAACAAAACCTGAAAGAATTTATCAACACCAAACTAGCTCTTCAAGAAGTGATGAAGGGAGTGCTATACCAGGAAAACTAAAGACAGACAGAAATAAGAGAACAAGAAATGACCAAGAAAAGAGCCAACTTAATGGTAGGGATAAGTTCAGAAATATCAGTAATAATGTTGAATGTTAATTTCCAGAATTTAAATGGAAAGATCAGACCATAGTAACATTGTGAATTCAACAGAAGAGATATTAATTAGTCTGAACTAGTGAAATATAATTTTTTGACTTTAGACTAATACATTACTGATTTTCTTCGATGATTTGATTTCCATATTTAAGGATGTTTGTCTTCCCTTGAACTGTTGATAGGTGCATCTACCTACTATTTGAACTGAATCCTAACCTTTTTCCTGGCTTTAAGTTTTAAGCAAATTTCTCTTAACTTTTTAATCTATTAAAATTAAAACTGTTTTTCCTGAAATTAAGAAATATATTTTAAAAAATACCTATTAATACCTATTTAATGTCTGCATTAAGCTACATAGCCCTATTGAGGTGCTACTTTATAGTATGTTCACTTTACTCACTGAGGTTTATGCCTAAAATCAGACATGTCTTTATATATATATATATATAATTGGAGATACCAGAGACAGTGTGGGACGGGGGGGTGGCACTGGCAGAGGGTGAGAGGTAAGGAATCAAGGGTGGGGAGTAAGCAAAATATATAAGAAACAAGAAATTGAAAATTATTTGTTGATAATATGTATGGTAATATCCTTGATTGAGCCAATATGGAAAATCTTATTTTGTATACTATATTGATGTACAATGAATAACTTTTTTAAAGACCATAAGTTTTTTTGTTTTGTTGTGTGTTTTTGTTTGTTTGTTTTTGTCTCATTTAGTTTTTAAATAATTGTTTTAAAGTTATTAGAAGAGATCCTTGTCTTGGCA